GCAGGAGAAATGATCAGTGAACTTGAAGACATAGCAATAGAACCTATCCAAAATGAAACAGAGAGAAGAGAAAATGACAGGAAAAATAAGTGAACAGACCCTCACTGATCTATGGTACAAAATCCAGTATTTTAACATATGTGTAATTGGAGTTCCCTAAGTAGAAGAGACAAGGAAAATACAGAAAGATATTTGCAGAAATGGCTCCAGATTTCCAAATTTGATAAAAACTAGAAATCTGCAATCCAAGAAGCCTAAGAAACTCCAAGGAGGACACACACACACACACACCAAAGCTTATCATAATCAAATTGTGGAAAACCAGTGATGATAAAAAAAAAATCTTAAAAGCAGCTAAAGAGAAAAGATACATTATGTTCAGAAGAGCAAAGAATAATGAAAAAGGTATTCTCATCAGAAACTGTGGAAGCCAGAAGACAATGGGATGGCAAGGCCTTCCCTGGTCATCGTTCTAAACCACCAACCCTCCCCTCCATCCACCATATCACACTCTTTGTGGCCTTAATTATTAACTTACTGTGATCTCTCTCTTCACTAGAATGTAAGCTCCAAGAAGGCAGGATATTAAAACATCATTTATCTTGTTCACTGCTTATCCCCAGTGCCCAGAACAGTACCTAGTTATTTAGTAGGTGCTCAATAAATATTTCATCAATAAAGTTGTCTTCCAGGCAGAAGAGTATAAAGGCAGAGAGCAGTAAAGCATTCTCGAACTATTAATAGTTTAGCACAATTACAGCCCAAGATGTGCAGGGGGAGGAAATAAAGCTGGAGTGTGAGATCAATGTCAAGTCAAAGAGGAATTTGTAGGACATGTCATGGAACTGGGGCTTCATTCTTCAGGCAGGGATGTTAGGCAGAGGAATACTAATACTCTACATTTTAGAAAAATTACTCTGGCAGCCCCTTGTGCCAGATGAACTAGAGGGGTGAGTTGGAGAGCAAGAAACAAATAGGGAGGCTATTAAATTAGTCCAGGTGAAAGCTGGTGCAGACCCAATGGAGGCTAGGAGCAGTGAGGATGGGCCAGTTCTGGAAAGCTCTTTAGGAGATAGGATGTACAAGAGATACATTGAGCAGGAGTTGGTGAGCAGCTAGATATGAAAGATGAAGGAGAGAGTTTTGACTTATGTAATTGGGTGGATAAGGAATACAGGAGACAAAGTCGATTTTAGAGAAAGATGGTGTATTAATAATCTATTGCGGTGTAACAAATTTCCCCAAAACTTAGCAGCTTAAACTTACAAACATTTATTATCTCTCAGTTTGTGTGGATCAGGAACCGAGGCTTAGGGGACTCCCTCTTGTTCAGTCTCTCGCAAGGCTGCAATCAACATGATGGCCAGGACTATAGTCACCTCAAGGCCCCACTGGGGAAGGAGCCTGAGGTTAGGCCTCAGGCCCCCCTGGCTGTTGGCTGGAGACATCATCAGTTCCTTGTCGCCTGGACCTCCAGAGGGCAGTCCACAACATAGCAGCTGGCTTCCCTCAGAGTGTGTGAGCAAGAGAGCAGGAGAAGGTATTCCAGGATGGAAGCCACAGTCTTTTTATAATCTAATATTGGAAGTGACATCCCATCATTTCTGTCCTCTGCTGTTTTTAGGAACAAGTCACTATGTGCAGCTCACATGCAAGGGGAGGGGATTACACAAGCACATGACTACCAGGAGGTGAGGATCATTGAGACCATTTTAGAGGCTAGTGAGTTTGGATTCTGATAGTGTGTTTGGATATGCTAAATTTGAGGACCCAACCTCCCAGTTGGGATTACTATGGATGCAGATGGATGTGTAGTTCTAGGGCTCAAGAGAGAATCTCCTCTCATTGGAAGGTAGCTTGGAGCCTTGGCATGAGTTTACAAGTAATGGCCCAGGGCCCTTTTCTTCCCAACTTGTTTTGGAAGCTTCTAGAAGGGCCGAAGGACAGATAACTTGGAATCCCCAGAGTGCCTCTGGAGCAGGAGGTGTGCAACACATAATTGCTGACTCAAGTACTTATATGGGGCAGAGTATCATGTGATTGAAAAGTTCTCCCCCTCCCATCTCTCCCCCCTTTTGACAATTCCTGCTGTGCCATCAAACTGGGGAGAGGTTTTCCCCTCTCTAAGCTGCAGGTTTGTGATCTGCATAAAGGGATTGTTAGACTAGATTAATAGTTTTTCAAAAAAATATAAAGCTTTTTTTCCTCTGGGGAACCCAGTATTTGAAATAGGTAAAAGTAATTTGATCTGGCCTCCCCAGTGCTTCCCCAGAAAAGAAACCCATTTTGAAAAACACTGGACCAAATAAATTCCTGATTTTTTGCCAGCTCTAACATGCCAGAGTTTCATGACAAGATCAACTCTAAGCTCCTCTCAGACCTGTTATTCTGTTTGTTGAGATGCCTTGGTGCTACATAGTTCATTGAACTTTTGAAAAGACAAAAAATCGTATTTCCTTGAACTTGTGAAAAAATATAATAAAGCTGACTTTCATCAAATGCTTACTGTGTTTCAGGCACTGTGCAAAATATTTTACATCGCATTATCTTTATTTGTCCTGTCCCCCCCTACTAGACTGTAAGCTCCAAGAGGACAGGGAGCTTGTCTAGTCCACTGCTGTATTTCTAGAAGCTAGAATAATTCCTGGGATATAGGAAAGCATTCAATAAATATTTTTTGAATGAATGAACTAAGGTCAGTACTAGTCTTATTCCCATTTTACAGATGAGGAAACTGGGGCTTAGAGCTGCTGAGTAACTTGCCTGTAGTTACACAAGTTAAAGGCAGAACTAGGATTTGAAATGAGCTCCTCTGGACTCTAAAGCCATTTCATGCCATTTCTCAGTGGTAGGATCAGTAGGAACCTGCAAAGAGAGCTAGCCTATATTGGGTACCTCCTATATGATGAGCATAACCCTAGGTACTCTTTGCTTCCATTAGCAGCTAACCCTGCAAATTAGCTATTGTGACTCTCATCTTTCAGATGAGGTATATGAAGCTCAGCGAGGCTAAGCACCACACCTAGAGCAAGAGATGGAAGTAGGATTGGAGCCAAGTCTTTCTGACTCCAAACCATTTCTGTACAAGATCCTACATATTCAGTTACATGCACCAAAGTTTAGGTTCTGGAAAATACCACACCATTGGTGGGGGCAGGTCAATACGGCTGGTGAGATTTTGCCTTCTCCGGCTTTCCTGTAGCTTTATTTCCATGAAACCACTGTGCATTGAACTGAAAGCGTCCACCAGGCTGAGAAAGAGCGAGTCCAAGCTTCTGAGATGGAGCAAAAAGCAGTTGATGACTAAGGATGACAAACGTGGGCCGCATAGCCTGCTGCTCTCTGTAGCCTCATCAACACCACTTGCCTCAGCCCAGGTCTGAAGTTAGACTGATGATGTCACCAGAGTCTCTTAAAGGGCTCATCACTCACAGCCACTTGTCATATATTATTCAGCGCATCTATAATGCATGTAACATTTTCTACCAAATTTCCATTCCTTTCTTTTCGTGACCAGGGAAAGAAAAATAGAGTCAGGATGACTTTTTCCAACTCCTCATCCTTACTGCCCTTCACTGAAGAATAACCTCATCTTGAGTTACCTCCGAAAATGGTCATTCAGGCTCTGGTTTCATTAATAAGGATGAAACTACAGTTTCACAATTATCATCTAACTAATGCACATTCTATATAGACAAGTAAATGGATTTCCCCCCACCTTTTCTTCTGGTGTCCACAGAGATGGGGACACAGCTGTCGCTTTTTCTTTCTCTCTCCGTTATTCTCCATCTTATTTTTTTGAAACTTTGGGACTGTATCAATTCTGTTAGAAGCTTTCTACCTTCTCACCTCCTATAGAGTTAATGAGAGTCCCCCCCCCCCCCCCCCGAGAATCTGACGTCCTCATGGTTCGAGTGTGAATCTAATTAGAACCTGGGATCTCAAGGATCAGGAGGAATCACGTAGGGGAAGGGTTGTTTCAGGCAGAGGGAATGAGATGCCAGGGTGGCTCACCCCATCCTAGGGCTTGCGAGGAACTGAAAGAGGCCAGAAGACAAAGCTTCCCCTGAAGCAGCCTCTGGACGGAAGGGCAGGTGTCAAGGACAAATGGTGTTGGAGTTAGCCTGGGGTGTGAGCCAAGGCGGTGACACAGTGCTCCACACCCAGAAGGGCTTGGTGCCTGGTTTAATGCTCTATTGTCACCATCGGGAAATTGTCAATACTTCTTGAACAAGGGGACCCCCGTTTCTGTCTTGCGCTGGATCCCACAAATGGTGAGGGGCCAGTCTTTGGGGAAATCCACTGGCCTGAGACTCAGTTTCTCCTTTTGTAAAATCGAGAGCAGATCCCTCCTTCAAATACACTGTCATGAGGATTAAATGAGATTATGAATAATCAGTGCATTGTATAGTAAATGACGCCTAATAAATATTCCCTTCTCCTTAGCTAAGAAGGTCTATCGGAATCACCGGAGAGGGAGGGGCAGGGGCCTTGGTTTTCAAAATTCACTTGCCTGTGTTCCCCTCTGACAGATTCTGACTTCCAGGTGTGGGTTGGGGGAGGGGTGGTGGTTAGGGCCCCTTCAGTGATACCGATGTACACCTGAGCTTAAGAAAAGTAGCCTTGGGTTTTCAGAGATCTAGCTAAGAAGCAGCTTAATAGAGAAGAGCAGATGGAGGGGGAGAAATTGATGGACCACAGCTGATCCTTAACATAATAAAAAACCTGTTAAGGAAGAAAGAGGTCACTGATAATGCTGAAATGCGCCATGAGAACTCGTCCCATTATCAAGGTTCCTATAAAATGTTCTGCTGTCCATTTGGCCTAAGAAGTACACCCCGAGGAAGAGGCGCCGTGGACAGGAGAAGCCAGGGTCAAGGCCCAGGGTGGGGGTCAGGTTTGGATTTATCGTCACCTTAATGACCCTAATACCATACTCAATTCCTGAAAAGAAATTGTAGCTAGAGGGAGTAATCCTGAATTATGTTTATCCCACCCAGATTTTAGGCTTTGACATTCTTCTAATGAAAAACCTGAAGCCTATCCTACTTGAAGTAAATGCGAATCCCAGCATGAGAATCGAACATGAGCAAGAAGTAAGTACTTTGAATATCTCCTTGAATAAATTGCCCAACTGCTGCATGTGGTCACTCTCATGCTGCTCACTTGGCTAAACAAGATTCAACATTCTCAAATTGGCACAGCAAACTTCTGCCCAAGTCTAAATAATTTCAGTTTGGTTGAGCTCTGAGCAGAGTCTATAAATATAAGACCTATCCGACCCATGGTAACTTCCCAGCATGCCGTTCTTCCAATTTTTAAGGTCTGTGGATATAGGAACAGCTGAGCCTTTCCATCAGTTTTGACATGAACTAATTAGTTAGCCTCAGGAGATGAGCTAATTGAAATGCTATGAATATGATTTAGCCATGTCGACATACTTGAATCACTAAGATAAATAGTACATTTAACAGTGGTTATATTTTTCCTCCCCCCTTAAAAAAACACACCCACACATAAAAAAGACTGGAAGGAAATACACCAAATACTAATATTGGGTTTTTGGGGGACTATGTAGATTCTTTTAGTTTTCTTAGCCCCTTCTATATTTCCAAATTTTCTACAACGAGCATGTATGATTTTGATGATTAGATTAACAGAGTGCTCTTTATGTATGTATTTCCTCTTTATGTCTTTTGTCGATTTGTTAAAGGAAATTGCCATTGTACAAATAGCATGAAGGGAGCCTTTAAAAATTCTCTTCTATAGATTCATATAAGCAAAACCTAACTAACAGTACAGCCAATGAGCTGGTGCTGATAGAGTCGCTTGGTACCAAGTCACTCCCTCCACTGAAACACAGAATCCTACCCATTCAAGCTTTCTCCAGGGGTGTTTGAAAATGTCCCCAGCCTTGTCGATGAGGAAGTGAAGGTGGCCGTGATCAGAGACACGCTGCGCCTCATGGACCCACTCAAGAACAAAAGAGAGAACCAGTAAGTATTTTTTATATCATTCATTTCTATCAACTCTGCTCCCCATGTCCTAGCCATTCGGTTCTTAGGACTTTGTAACATTGTGAGATGAACATATTAAACCAGCTAATCCATCATATTTTAATTTTGGATATCAGCCTCTGAATATAGTGACTTAAAATCAGGAGATGGATATATATATGAATCCGACGTTTGGGATTCAGCTGATGAATTTTTAGCTGATTGTTACTTGAATCTAGGGAGTCTCTTCCACAAACCCACTCCGCCCCACCCCCCGAGATGGGATCTCCTCTCACCCACTATTGGTGACATAGTGCTTCTCTTGGAAATGCTCAAGCCTAGGGAGAGAGCAAAACAAAGCCAAGGAGAGGACCACAGGCCACTTGGATGTGATAAAGATCATTTCCTTTTTACCTTCTTCGTGATGCTTATACTCTTGCATTATAAGCTTTTTGTTTCAACGTTTGCAGAGCCAATTTAAGGAAATTCCGGAAGTTCTATCATCTTTACAGCAGTATAATTCTCTCTGTCCCACCCACCCCGGGGCAGGTTACCCTGGCCGGGATGCTGGTGGGAGTGAGTGCCCCGCCCCTCCCTCCATGGAATCACCCCTGAAATGAGCGGCATCTCATTTGGGTATTTTGTTTGTTTTGTTTTTGTCAAATTCCTAGCTCTCACAAAGTATGGGTTAAGTAAATATCGTTATGCTTGTTTGAGGCAGAAAAATCAAAGACAGGCATTTCAAATAGCACTCTTTGTACCCCCGGCAGATCAGATTGACCTAAACGCTCGCAGACAAATAAAGCCCTTGTCAGCACGGTCCAAGACTGCAGGGAACACTGGCTTCCCCTTCCTGAGCAAGCGGTGTTCTGCAGGTCCTCCACCTCACGAACTGGGCTCACGCCAGAGATACTGTTAGAATATTCTGCGGTGGTGCTTCTCCCCTGGCTTGCGCACTAGAACCATCATAAACACCAGTGTGAGGGCCCCCACTTCTAGAGACACTGATTTTAATTAGCCTGAACTGGAGGCCTGGCCACATAAGTCTTCCAGGTTCCCTAGGGGATCCTACCGAGCAGCCGAGGTTGAGTGCCGCTGCCTGGCAGGAAATGTCACTCTGTAGGAGTGTTTGTCTTATTCTGAGTCCGGCTGGACGGTGGCTGCTCGCTTGAGCGCCCCTCCGGAGCGTTCTTCACCGCATGAGGCACAGAGTGCGCCTGCTGGCAAGACTTGGCTGAGAACGTTCACCTGCAGCCTGTCGGGCCAGTCCTGCCAGGTGTGGCTCCCACCGATTAGAGCTGCAAAGTGGCGTCCCATCAGGTCCCCCGCATGCTCGGTGTGGCTCACACGCCACGGCAACTGGGAGCGCGACCACTCGTCCGGGCACGCGACGGCTTTCTTCCGCCAGCCCTAAGGGGAGGCAGCAGACGGAGGGCAGTTTGGTCAGGTTCATTGCAATAAAACTAATCTACTCTCCGAGGGTTACTGATCTCCCTGATAGAGATGAGGTCTCCAGAGACTGACTGTACGGCACTCTGGGGGGGCTTGGGGGGCTGTCCATGTCAGTGTGGCAAGCTAGTACAGATCTTTAAAGATGACCTTGACACATGAGCGCTCCAGTTGTGTTGGTGGGAACAAATTCGAAGGCCGTTGTGTGGCCACCAAAAATAGGAAGAGATAGAAGAGGATCACTGTATTTTCACGCTAAATGGTACCGAAACATGATTAGCTTTCTTTTTCTTGGTTTAGGTGTTTTGCTTTACCTACACCTGGCATTCTGGATCATCTCTGTGAGCTGTAGATCTAAAACTGAATAGCGAGGGGGCACAGGACCACAGGAAGAATGGGAAAGACATTTACAACTTACCAATCATAAGTAGCAGAAGCTGGTTTTAACTGAAGCATGGGCTTTTTTTTTTTATTATTGATAACCAGGAACAGTTAAAACTTCTAGAACCTGACCTCGATTCTAATATAAAACCCTTCTAGCTCCCCCTTTTCTTACCTACAAGGGTGCATATTAGTAGCCAAATGTCATTTACTGATAATTTTCCTAAATTTCACCTTAAAAAACTCCCAACAATGATTGGGAGTCTACGAAAGTCTACGAAAGTACTTTGTAATCTGTAAAGTACATTTATATGTAAAGAATTATTATTACCATTTTGGTAACTTTATCATGCAGATAAAAAGGCTAAAATTATCCTCAACTCCTCTGTGTAGAAATGTTTCAGAATCACTTGAAAAAGCAATGTATTTAGGCCCACAGAAAATGCCCAGTGTTGTAGTGCTGAATCATATGTATCCAAAGCTGAGGCCATGTCATTCCAGCTGCAGAAAACAACATCACATAGACTTCTGGGTTGGGAGGTAGCTTTAGAAACCAGAGTGTTTTGTGTTTAAATAGGATCTGACCTAAAGCTTTAAAAACAAATGAAACCCTAGCCTTTCGCTACAACTCTTTAGCAAAAGAGAGTCTGAAGTGTCCCTCATTAATTCCTTCTTGAGTACAGATTGTCAGCAAGACCAGTGAGGTGAGTCTTCACTATCCCCATATAGATTGAAGAAAAATGGTAGATAGATGTCCTGACCTCTTCATGCCTCTGAACTTCCTCGGAAAGATATGGAGGGGGATTGTGTCCATGTGTGAAGCATCTTCACACACCTCGGGGGCTTATGGGCTGGGTTCAGTTTCCTGGTGGGACTGAAAGCAGTCCCCATGCCTTCCAGGGGAACAAGAAATTGTGACTGCTGGTACCTATCTTGGCAAGCTGGAGCCTCGCTCGAAGATACCAGATTCAAATTCTGACCTCAGGGATGTTGTGGAGCTGTGTGAGCCTTGGTGTCCTTTTCTATGAAATGGCATTTAAATGAAACAGGAAACCTATCGATAAATAGTAGCCACTTAAATGCTTAGTTCACTACTCAACAATAAAATTCTCTACTAGAGGATGAGAAAACAAAATTAAAGCTTAGCTATCATATCTTTTCTGGTATACTTAAAGCAGAATTTTGAGTTGAAAACCAGTGACATCCTAAAACTGAAGCTGCTGGGTCACTGTGGACTAGAATTGACATTGGAGCTGGTTGCCAATGGAACATTCTGTTTCCAAGTAGCAAGATGTCACTGGCCCGGGCATATTTCTTTGTGGATTAGGAGAAAATAGCTTTGGCCCCTGAAGGAATAAAATAGCTGTCATACGAGAACTCTTTTGAACTCTGATACATTTTATAATATCTAGTGACTCTGATTTACATAGTAGGGTTTTTTTGGAGGCACTGAAGGGACATGGGAAAGGGGAGGCTAATGGGTTGGGACTCTGGAAACATCATATATCTGTACACACACATATATGGTGATAAAATTCACATAATATAAAATTAGCTATTTAAATTCCATGGCATTTAGTATATTCACAATGTTATGCAACCACCCTAGTTCCAAAATGTTTTGTCACCCCAGAAGGAAACCCTATACCCATGAAGCAGCCACTCCTCATTCCCACCTCCACCAACCTACTCTCTGACTCTGGATATACCTATTCTAAATACTTCGTATAAGTAGAATCCTACAATACACAGTATTTTTGTCTGGCTTCTTTCACTTAGCGTGTTTTTGAAGTCCACCCATGTTGTAACATGTATCGGTGCTTTGTTCCTTTTTATGACCAAATAATATTCCATTATGTGGATATACCATGTTATATTATCCATCTGTCACTTGGTGGACCTTTGGGTGGAAGCAATGAACTGTTTTATATTTCGGCATTCTGTAGATTTCATCTGAGAGCAAAGAATCTTTCCTGCTACAAGAAATTTTTTAAAATTCCTGGTTTACTTCAACCCCCTCATTTTATTGAGATAGAAACCATCATGCCAGTCAGCTCCCTGGTTCCAGAATCTCCCTCTGAAGCGTCCTGCAGACGAGCAGCCTATGTCCTGGTGAGGCACTGAGTGCGGCATCAGCCTGGTCTGGGGGATGTTGTTAACCTCTCGTCACTGTCCTATGAGCTTGGCCAAGGCGCCCTGTTCTCTGATCTGGTCTCTAACATGGGAATCAAGGTATCTCCTTGGCTGGATTGTCATGGTCATCATATGAAGTGACACCGAGGAGAGAGCCTCATGACATCTGAAGACATTAGACAAATGCCAGTTCTTAGGCCCACCAAGTGGTCAGTCAGGCTTTGAAGTTCTGTTGGTGGTGACAGGTAAGTCACCAGCTTCTGAGGCAGTCTATCTGAGGAATGTACCTGATGGTTCTGCACATGTGAATCATACAAGACAAAAACCTAGGCGAAGAAGTCACAAAGCTAGTTAGAGGCAGCATGGGGACCGGATCCTGGTTTCCTGACTTTGACACAAATGTCCACTTCGCTTTGCCACGTTGCTCCATTGACCTCCAGCTTCGCCTTCCATTCAAAGCTAAGCTTGTAAGATAAGGAGAAAAAAACAATCAGGAAAATCAATGGAGAGTTTTCCTTTGCTCAAGGGATTTGGGCAGCCTAATCTTTTTTAAAACTCCTATCCAGAGCAGAAGTGAACAAATTGTATTCCCTGATTATTTAAAAAACAAAGTGCTTGTTCCATCAACTGATTCATTTTTGGAGGGTCGGTTTGCCCTGGGGAGCCATTTTACTGGTATTTTTCTCCTTTTCCGGAATGTAAGTATTTCTGGTAACCAGGTTCCTTTCTCAGGAAGCATAGCCCTTAGGACCCCTGAGAAGTGTAAGTGAAGCCAGAGACAGGCTTGGAGGAATCGGAGGGGACTTTTTCGATATCGTGCTGCCACGTAGTGCCCAGGAGCTGTGATTTAGACGGCCTGGCCCATCTCTTATTCAGAAGCGCCTTTTGTATTTTGGAACACGGCTTATATAAGGCACAGAAGCGCCTTTCCCCACAGCAACATCTCACCGCCCTCTCCCAGTTTCGCTTACTTTCTATCACAGCAACAACCTGGTGGATTAAAAGGGGAGGACTCAGGCTGGTCCGAGCCGCTTTTG